CACACACACACACACACACACACACACACACACACACACACACACACGGCACTGGAGAGGTATCAGGTTTCATTTTTTAACTTGTGCCCAAATCAGTTTAGTGTGATTATTCTTTGTCCTTAGTAACTGAATTAGACTCTCTGGCAGCCAAATGTTAGTGTAATGCTATCCTTCTGCTTGGGTAACTCTTGTCTTTGAAGGAGCTCAAAGCATTTTAAAAACTTTCCTTTCATTTGTCCTCATAAAACAAAACAAAACAAAAAAAACTCCCCATAAAATCTCTCATTTGTCTTCACAAAAATCTGGAGGTAGATCAAGAAGGTGAGGGTTGTCATCATTTAACTGAGGGGAAACTGAGTCTCATACAGCTTAATTGACATACCCAAAGTGCCCATGATGCAATAGTTGAGCTAAATACTAGTTCCCTGAATGAGCTAGAACCCGGATATCTGTCGCCTGGTCAAAATTATAACTACAATCTAGAACAGAGGTTCTTAACCTGGAATCTGTGGGTTTTCAAAAAAATTTTTTTTGAATAAAATATATAATATAATAATTTAATAAATATTTATTATATATAATATATTATTATAAATGCATAAATATTAAATGCAAATAAATAAAAATAACTATATTTCCATTTCCTTTGTTATCTCATATATTTTATTTTGCACATTTTAAAACTTTATTCTGAAAAGGGGGGGAATAAGCATTTCCAGTCTGCCAAAGGGCTCGTGATACAAAAAGGGTTAAGAATTCCTGTTCTACGGCAAACACCACATACCCTAGCTCAAGAATAGTTCTCCAGGGTACTAGAAGAGAAAGGAGTAACTTACAACACCACAAGGCTGGTGAGGTTCTGGAAGGCATAGTCGGGAATGAAGCCGATGAGATTGAGGGCCAAGGTCATGGCCTGCAGGGAGCGAAGGTTGTTGAGAGCCCTGATGGGGATCTCTGTGAGGGCATTGTCATCTAGCCACAGATGGCGGAGGGAGGAGAGCCCCTCGAAGCTTCTCTCGGGGACCACGGAGATGAGGTTGGCATCCAGACGCCTGAAAGGAAGAGGATGGAACGGCATCAATAAAACTCAAACTCATGGTAGCACGCAGTGGCTAGCAGGTCAAGCTCTGGGTCTGACCAGTTGGATAAACTCAGTTTATGCCCCCAGGAACTTCCAACTTAAGGCAGACAAAGAGCAGAATATCAGAGACAAGAAACTCATCTCCCAGGCTGAGGATGCTGCCTGCTGTAACAATTATCACCCCATGATGTATGAACTGAAGTATCCTCATCTCTACCCAGCAGGCTCCACCTGGGGACTTGAGAAAAATGAGCAAAGCTTAAGTGAGGGTGAGAGGGAAGAGGAGTTGTCTGAGAAAATAACAAAGTAGGGGAAAAAAAGCATGTTCCAAAAGTCAACAAGCATCTGTTAAGTACCTACTATGTGCCAGGCATTGTACCAAGTGCTAGGGATACAGAGAAAGGGGAAAAAAAAGTCCCTGCTCTGAAGAAGCCCACAAATGGGGAAGACGATATGTAAATAACTATGCACAAACAAGATAGAGACGGGCTTAGCTGGAGGTGATCTCTGAGGGTTGTTAGCATGAAGGCAGATCAGGAAAGTCTTCCTGTGCAGAAGGCAGGGAAAGGGGAATGGGCTACCTTGGGAGGCAGGGGGTTCCTCCTGTTAGAGGTCTTCAGTTGGAAGGCTGAATGTCCCACTTTTGGGTGGATTCTTTTTCAGGCAAAGGTTGGACAAGATGGTCCCTTCCAATTCTGAATAGAGGCAGCTTAGTGGTGCAATGGATAGAATGCATGTCCCCGGAGTCAGGGAGACCTGCTTTCAAATCCAGCCTCAGAGACTTACTAGCTGTGTGACTCTGGACAAGTCGTTTGACCTCAGTTTGCTTCAATTTCCTCATCTGTAAAATGGGGATAATAATAACTTACCTCCCAGGTTATTGTAAAGAACAAATGAGATCATAATTGTAAAGCACTTAGGACAGTGCCTGGCACATAGTAAATGCTATATAAAGTTAACTGTTATTATTACTACTACTACTACTAGCTGTGTGACTCTGGGAAAGTCACTTAAACTGTCTGCCTCAGTTTTATCATGTGTAAAAGGAGGGTGCTAATGGTACCTACTCCACAGTGAGAATCAAATGAGAAAATAATTATAAAATGCTTAGCACGTAGCTTCTGCCTGGCATATAGTAAGCACCGTATAAATGTTTTTGTTCAATCATTTCAGTCATATCCAACTCTTTAGGACCCCATTTGAGGTTTTCTTGGCAGAGATACCATGTAATATATAAATGTTAGCTATTATTGTTATGGAGGCAGCTAGGTGGTGCAGAGGATAGAGTGTCAGGCCTGGGGTCAGATAGACTCATCTTCCTGAGTTCAAATCTGGCCTCAGACACTGACTAGCTGGGTGACCCTAGGAAGGTCACTTAACCCTGTTTGCCTCAGTTTCCTCATCTGTAAAATGAGCTAGAGAAAAAAATGACAAACCACTTCAGTATCTTTGCCAAGAAAAATCCCAAATGGGGTCATGAAGAATTGGATACAACTGAACAACAATTATTATTATGATATTCTCTGATCCCAAGACGGAGTGGGTAAGAGGCAAACATCAGACATTTGTCTCAATTGTCTTGTTCCCTGAATCTAGTGAGTGTGGGATAAGGGATGGGAAGATTGATTGTAGTAGCTTGATGTCCCAAACAGAGGAAGAACTCCTTACTGACAAAGGCTCTGAAGATGCTCCATTTTTCAGATAACATTAAGCTGATTCCATTAGGCCCTGAAATGATTTAGGGCTTACTAAATGCAATCCACAGTCACTCAAAAGGTATTGGCCAAGCAATCTACACAGAAGAAACCAAGTAGAAGAAGAATCCACATTACTCAGGGTACGACATGCAAATAGATGGACAACTTACTGAGTTATTCCACCAGTACATCTCTCTTGGATAGATGGTACAGATGAATAACAATCTGGGTGCCTAATCGAATAGGATTAAGAGATCAGGCTAGATCAAATTGGGAAAACTGCACAGGACTTTAAAAAAAATCTCAAGCAACTCAAAGATACAAAAGCTTATACTTTCAATACCAATATTCTCCTGCTGGTTTGTAATTTGGCTACGAGCCATGAAACACCATGTCTTGGAAGACTCATGCATACTGGGCTGTAGACAGCTTTAGCACGTTATGGGGATAACTTGAGCGCCAAAAGTAGTATGAATGACATCATCTATGGCATGTGAGATCAGTGAAGGAAGTGGGCTAACATATAGCGAAGGTGAAAGATTACAGATGGGCAGTTCTGATGCTACGCTGGCATTCACAAAACAGTAAATGAATCAGAGTAAAACCTTCAGCGAGTGAATTGAGTGGAATAAAGTGGACAAGAATGACACTGGAAACAAGGATGTGGGTGGCCTACAACTCACACCAATGAAAGATCTCATCACCTCATTGATGAGATCTCAAATCCATTGAAGAGTAGGAGGCTTAAAGCCTAGGAGGTTTGTTACCAGCCAAATGAGCCCTAAAGATTGTGTATGTGTGTGTGTTTTGTGAAGATTTTTGTGCTCTAATTCTCCCACTCACAGATTACAGAGTAGCCACTAGGAAACCTAAGGGCAGACTTCTGTTAGCTCAGAGTAGAGGGTGAAGCAGGAGTAGAGAAGAGAGGATGAAAATTTCAGAGGACCATCTCTCCTTCTTGGTGTTCCACTTCCAAGATGCAATGGTTCCTAAAGAGTTGAGAGGTTAGACCACCTTGAGGCAATGGGGATGGGTAATCAGTTGACAATATTCAAATGTAACCTTCTTGAGGGCAGGGTCTGTTTTGTTATTTTTATGTTTGTATTCCCAGCACCTAGTGCAATGATGGAGATACAAAGTTGTAGGTTCGCCATTGTTGTAGTTTTTCAGTTGTGTCTGACTCTTCATGAACCCGTTTGGGGTTTTCTTGGCAAAGATCTTGGAATGGTTTGCCATTTCCTTCTCTAGTTCATTTTACAGATGGGGAAACTGAGGCAAACAGGGTTAAGTGACTTGCCCAGGGTCACACAGCTAGTAAATGTGTGAGGCCAGATTTGAACTCAGGAAGATGAGTCTTTCTGCCTCCAGGACCAGCACTCTACCCTCTTTGCCACCTGGCTGCTAGAAATAGCCATTTGTTGAATTGAATTGAACTGAACTCAACTGAAGAACCAGTGTCACCAGACCAGACCAGTGACAGCACCTGGGAAGTCACCAGTACCAGAAGGTGAGCATAGTCATCAGGCATCCTGAGCAATTGTTCTGTCTATGTGGAATTTCATCCCACCCCATACTGTCACCATAGTTTCAGAAGCAAGAATTGAGCTGCATCATTCAACAAAGTATACTCCTTGGTCACACCCACAGCCCATCCTGAAAGGCAATAAAGTATGAGATTATCCTGGAAAATATAGGACATAGGATTGCTATACCTATAATCTGGCCTGGTGGCCTGCAATGCCTCCCCAAAACTCACCCTTACAACTCGCTCGATCCCCTGAGTCAAGGGTAACAACAGTAACAATAGCCAGCATTTATGTGTAGCGTTAATTAAGGTTTACACGTTGCCTAGTTTGATTCTCACTTACACCCACCCTGAAAAGTAGATGCTGTTATTATCCCTGTTTTACAGATGAGGAGACTGAGATTCAGAGAGGTTAGAGAGTGCAAATTTCCTAAAAAGCCTCTGGGCACATGTCCCACGGCCCCTTGGGAACATCTTGCCTCAGTTTCAGCTCACTACCAGGGGCCTAGACTCCTCTCTTTTATCTATCTATCTATCCATTCTTTCATTTATCTATCTATCTATCTATCTATCTACCTATCTATCTATCTATTTATTTATTTATTTGGAGCAGGGGGAAGCGGAAAGGGGGAGGTGAGCCAACCTCCCTAGAGCAGAGAGGCTTGCTGACTTTGGCTGCAAGCTCCTCCCCGAAGGCAGAAGAGTCTATCCAGACAGAATCTCATTTGGCAGGAAAGAGAGAACAATTATGCCAATTAAAGCTTGAGAAAAAAAGTCAGCAGCCCCCAACAGCTCTTCTCTTTCTTCCGAGGGGGCTCCTGCTCCTTAAGTGGTTCCTGATTATGATTCCTACCTGTGGTAATTGGGCAGATTAGCAGGGACCCTACAGGCCAGTACTGGCTTGCTCAGGCCCCGGGGAAGCATTTTAACCTTGGTTCTGCCAACTCCTCCTTCGTGGTTCCTTAGCGTGGGCTTGAGGGAGAGATGAGGCAGGGAGCTCTGGATGTGGAGGCCCCTCTGTCCCCGCTTAATCCACATAAAGGCTGCCGAATGAATCAAGGAAGACCGGCAATGGTGGGGGCCGCTTCGCTAGAGAGGAATTCTTCCCAAAGCTCAAATGAGGACCTGGGAAGGGCAAACTGGAGCAGAAGGGATTTTTGACTAGACAGTGAGAAGAGGAAACTTAGTGAGGATGAGCAAGAGAAAGAAGGAAGGAAACACTGTGCCAGGCACAGTACAAATATTATCTCGTGTAATCCTTATGACAACCCTATGAGGTAGGTGCTATTATTATCCCATTTTATAGTTGAGGAAACTGAGGTTAAGTGACTTGCCCAAGGTCACACAGCTAGTGTCTGAGGTCGGATGTGAACTCAGTTCTTCCTGTCTCCAGGCTCAGTGCTTTTTCTACTTCTCAAACTAGTAGTGAAAACTCCATATCCTAAGATATTTGAGGAAGGGTTAGACAGTCCTCTCCATGGGAAAAAGGAATCTGGCCTTGATCTGCTTAGAGATGGGGGACAGACCTCATAGCTTCTTGAGATGGCTTCCAACCTTTGATGAGCTCTTCCTTCTGCTCTTTTAAAAATATATTATATCATTTATTATAGCACCATTTCCCCCCAGAATTGTAAATCTATACTGTTAGATGTTGATTGGTCTACCAAAGCCATCAATTATCTTTATCTCAGTCATAATAATAATAAAAATAACAGTAATAGAAATATTCAATAGAGTGCCAGGTCTAGA